CCTAGCTCCCTCGCAGGCAGGATGCGGAGAGGAAGGGGCGGGTGTGAGGAGCCGGCTGGCGGCTACTTTATTTCTTTTAAGTTAAAAAAAAAAAAAAGTTCAAGACAGGAGGCGGCGGGAGAGAGGAAAAGAGGAGCGATGGCAGCCCGGCCACCTCCCCGGGCCTCCGCCACAGGTTCTGTAGCCTCGGAGGATCCCAAGAGTCGCCTTTCCAGCTCCGGGGTGCCTGGGGTGTTCTCGGTCACAGGGGCTCACAATCCCGGAGATCTGTGAGCTGAGTTTGACAACACTCACGCGCTTGCGCTGTCTTAAGATCCTAAATTGTGAGGTGCCGCGTGATTTCTCAGGACCAAGCGCTAGGCTTTCGCTTTGGAGATGGGGTTTTTAGGGTGGACTGCCTCTAAAACTGGGGCCAGACGACAAGCTACTCCTTTTTCTTAGAGATTTTATTTCTGCTTTAATCATCTAAACGCTCCCGTAGGGATCCCATCTTCTATGCCCTGGGTCGCTACACATTCTTCACAACGACCTTCTCGGAGAGCTACGCCCACCAGAAGGCAGTGCACACCCGAGAGCACAGGCCCACAGGTGAGTTTGCCCGGCTCAGAACGCCCCCGGCTGGCTCCAAGCGCGCCCGCGTCTGGGCCCAGGTGTATTGGATCCCAGTCGCTGGCAGCCAGCTGGGGCAGCGCCTCCCAGCCAGATGGTTGGGGTTCCCTGGACAGGTGGGGGATCACGCTCCCGTGCCGCCCCCTGGTGAGCTGCAGAGGTGCAGCGTCCTGCTCCTGCCACCCCAGGGCTGAGGCATCGCGGGCTACGCGGGACACAACTGCGCACGGGCCCGCACGCTCCGGAGATGCGCTGGGCTGAGCTCGGGTGTAGCTGCTCTTCAGTTCTCTGCCCTGACTTTCTGAGTTGTAACCATAGCTTCAGCTGTGAGGAGGAGAAACGACTGAGGCCTCAGGGCCTTCCGGGACGAACCAGCGCCCACAGCTGGGGAGGGACAGGCTTATAAATCCCTGGCGAGGCCGCTTCCTTGGGCTTCGTGCGTCCAGGGACCCCTCGGGTGCAGGTCGGAAGCGATGATGAAGGCCGCAGGCGTGTTAGGAGGGCTCTTCGTGCTTCTCGGGTTGAGCTACGTTCATGCCTCTTGTAAGACAAAGGGGCTTCTGGGGGGCAAGGCTCGGCACTGTGGGGCTTTTCTAACACACTGCTGTGGGGGTCACCACCTGCTCCCCGGTGAGTGCCAGGTGGCGGGGAGGCGTGGCTTGGTCCTCTGCCTTCACCAGGGACTTCCTCTGGAATCTACAGTGAGCTGCTCTGAAGAGCCTGTTTGACTTGCCTGACGGTAACATCTTTGCAGGTGTATGCTTTCTTCTGCTTATAGAGGCTGGCCTGTCGCTTTGCAGACTCTGAAATACCTGTGCTAGAGTCAGGAGAGGCTGTCAGGGCCTGGAGAGGAGGCTTACCCCTGGGGCGGGCTCTGCCCTGGGCAGCAAGGGCTGGGCCGTGGGGCTGAGTTCAGCTGCTCCTGGTGCCTTTGTAGCCTTGAGCTCGGAGCAGCTTCTGCTATAGATTTTCATTCTGCTCCGCCTTTTACCAGCCCCGTTGGTAGTAACCTTATCTGTCTAATATGGGGTACTGAACTTGGTAGATGTTTGATGAAAATTAAACAAGACTAAAAATCAATTCGTTAGTGATTATAGCAACGTTAGTACTAAAATAACTGCATTATTGTTTTAGAATTCTTTAATCTCATCTGGCACTCTGTGTTGGGCTTTTGGATAGGGTTTGTAGGCTCAAATATTTTAACTCAAAAAAATCCTCTAATGGAAGCTCAGATACCTACTCCATCCGTGTGCAAGCAGAACCAGCGCGTCCCCGCGGTTCTTCAGAATTCCATCCGCTGTGCGTGGAAATCCTTTGAGAGCGCATTCATGAGACGTGGTGGCAAACTTGGATCATTTCTAAAAAGCCAGGAAGATGCCTGGCTACAGATTCTCGGGAAGGATCTCTGACGTGGCCACTCTCTGAGGACATGGATCTTGGAACTGGGGACTGACCCCGGTGCAAGCTGTCATGTGGAGCACACGTGTGGTGGGTGCATCTCCTCTTTGTTGCTTTCCTTCCACAGTGCTTGTGGCCTGCACCACCACAACGCTCCTAGCTAGAGTGGATCGGGTGCCGCTGGTGAGCAACGTGACGCTGGAGGCCCAGGACCTGACTCTGGGCAGCAACTGCTCCGTCTCCACCGTGGAGTCCGGCTACTTTGAATTTCTTTATGTTCTGTCTTCCTGTGACATAAAGATTTATGTAAGAGCACTTATTCTTTGTTTTTTAAAATATTTTATTCATATTAATGAGAAAATAAAATAGCAGTGAAACAGTTAAGTTAGTAGGACAGTTACAATAATTAATACATTGCATATTGTCTTCATAGTGGTTATTCACTAGTGGTTATAACTGAGTTTTATTCTTTGTATTTTAGGATCAGGACTTTGGTATGATCATTGAATCTTCAATCACATATAATTCGCCGCATTTCAATTTTTATGTCACCATCCCCATATCATGTTCTGTTCCAAGGTAAGCGCTGTGGATGCTGCTGTGAGGGTCTTCTCATGTTTCCCCAGCGGCTGAGTGTTTCGATCCAAATAAAATTGCTAGGTAATGTGCTGAGGTCCAGCAATGGGGCCTGTTTGATTTGCAGAATTCTGCCTAATTGAGTAGATCTACAAATAAATTCAACTGAGTCTATCAGTGTGCTTTTGTATTAGTAAAGAAAACACAGCCTGTTCCTGACTGATGAAATTTGGTTCATGAAGAGAATACACAGAAGGGTTCTGTGTAACCCTTTCTTTTCTCTGATCTTATGTTCCTTACCTACTTCTCCTCAGACCCCACCCATGCCTGTTATGGAAATTCTTAAAATTGTTTGAGAACCATGCAAATGTAGGGGTGAGACAAGGGATTTAAGAAATCAATATTTCTCCGCAAGTTTAAATCTAGAGCAAGGAAGTTGGGTGTGGTGCGTTCCTATGGATATAAAACCCAAGACTCATTCGTTTATGACCCTAATTCTCCCCTTATGTGAGAAGCTCTTTTGCAGTGAGATGGGAAGCAGAGGGAGCTCTTTGAGTTTCTTATATTGACCATTGTGTAAAATTACCTGGTGGCTCCAGCTGTCGCCTCTAGGGCAATGGAAGGGCAGATGAAACATTTAGTGACGTTTTCTTCTGTGCACTATAAAATGCCTGTCTTTCCAAAGGCCGTTGCTTTTTACAACTTGTTCCCCATGCAGTTTAGCATCTGTCCCTGGATGCTAGCCCCTTCTCTACTCCCAATGATTTGATTTAGGCAGAGCTCACATGTACCTTTTCTTTTCTGGATGTGACTTTTTTTTTTCCTTCAGAAAGTCATACGTGAAGGCTTCAATGAAAAGATCAGGAGCCCCATGCCGCGTCTTCACAGTGGTGGAGGAGTTCTGGCCTCTGACAGGTGGCATCCTGTACTCTGGAGTTTCTGTGGCAGTACCATCGTAATGTGAGCATTTTTACCTAGCAGCGTAAGTGTTGACACGTATGAAAGCAGGTAAAGGGTCGGTGAAGCGATCCCCAGTGCACTTGGTAGATTACGCGTGGGTGTGAAGGAGGCCAGGACTGTGGGAGCGTGCACTGTCACGGTGATCGGGTGCATTGCTGAGCACTTACTCTTTTCTCTCATGTGCTCAGTCAGTTTGCAATTGCAGTCCTGCTTGCTCTTTCCTGCAGTCCATCCACGCTAGCCAGAGTCCCCCAGAAATCCCTGGAGTTGGCAACAGATAGCGAGTGGACTTGGGAATTTTCTTGAAGGTAGAAGTGGATACGTTTGCTAACGTTTGATTCATCTTTTTGTTCTTGAAGAACTACCTGGGCACACAGCCCTCTACGGTGGGCTGTAACTGGGCACACAGCCCTCTATGGTGGCTGTAACTGGGCACACAGCCCTCTACGGTGGGCTGTAACTGGGCACACAGCCCTCTACGGTGGGCTGTGAGAAGTGTTCAGAGTGTGTCTCCTGATGGTGACAGGACAGGCCTGTGCTACTCTTCTGCCCTCAGAGTTTAGAAGGAGAGACATTGTGTTCACGTAAAATGGATACGCGTGCTGTTGGTTGACAAATGCTCAGCAAATGTTTTATAGCTGCTTTTATATGAAAAAATATATAGAATGTACTACTACACTTGAATCATTTAAATGATGAGTAAGGTGGCACATGCCTGTCATCTCAGGAATCCTGAAGGCTGAGGCAGGAGGATAGTAAGTTCAAGCCCAGCCTGAGCAACATAGTGGCTTGAGAAGACCTCGTCTCAAAAGGGTGGGGTGTGTAAAATGAATGTCCTCTTTGCCTTCTCTTGCTTTGCTGATAATCGATATTTCTTTGAAGATGTGATTGTTATCCGTATTATGGGACTGTTTATTTCCTGACAGGAGCAGTTTCCCCTGCTGGGCCGGAGAAATCGCACTGCTTCCTTTCACGTGGACTGATTTTCTGATGAATTCAGGACCTTGAAGTGCTGATACCAACCCTGGGCGCTTGAGGGTGTCACTGCTCCTTAGATTTTGGACAAGTGCTTATGAGGAGCATCTTTGACCACTTCAGTGTGACGTTTTACAGTGGAAATCTTGCTCCTGTCTCCATATTTATGAACTCTTTGGTGGGAAAAGGGCTTCTCTCAACTTTAAATTTGTGATGAAAACAATTTTAAATAAACTTTTGTAATTCCTAATGGCACTTTTTGATGATGGCCTCAGTTCTTCACCACAGGACACCATGAAGCAGGAGGTGATTGGATTTTGTGTTTCCTTTTTCTTTTTGTGTACTGGGGATTGAACTTGGGACCCTGTGCTTGCCAGGCCTGTACTTATTCCACTGAGCTATCTCCCTGGGCCCAGAGTATATTTTGTGAGTGGACTTCCTTATCCTACTTCTCTTGGGTAGGGCTGTGAAGTCAGTATACTTTAATCTTCCCCTTGACCCCTATTTTACTTCCTCCCGATGGCTTGCGGAAATCAGAATTTCCTTTTAAATATTTTGTTCTTATTATCATGTATTTAATTGTGCCTACGAAGGGGCTCGGTGACGTGTCAACACACGCATACAGTGCCCGTGGATCACTCCCACGCTCACGGAAACCCCCCTCTGTGCTTCCCCCCGGCTCTGAGCAGGATTCTGCCTCAGAGGTGGCTTTTCTTAGCTTGCCCGAATGAGGCAACATGAAGTCCTTGTCTTCTGTGCTTGGCCCGTTTCACTTAGTGCTTTCTGTTCTTTTGGTTTTTGGCACCCAAGTGTTCAGCTGTGCCATGAATTAACTATCTACAAAATTGCATACATCAGGAGGCGCTGGTAATCCTTACCCGAGTGGGTTGT